ACGCGGATTTCGGTGATCACGCTGTTTAATTAGAGGAATTGGGATGTTGATCGTGGACTTTAATTGGCTGATTCCAGGATGGATTACCAACCAACTTCTGCAACAGAGTTGCACGGAATTCTTCGAGCCAATTATTACAGTCTCGCTTCATTTGTTAACTCCTTGCTCTACGATTGAATGTCGCGATTACACTTGTTAGAACTATTTATAATTAATAATGCACTTTATGTTCTTTTATGTTCTTCCTATGTCTAGATTCTCTCTAAACTACAAAAGTTACTAACAAGAAGAATAATGTGTCACTTGATCTCGAAAGAACTGAATGACATTTATATTTGTCAAACCATATTAGAAATCTTCGCCAGGAATTTGATACGATATTGTAGGGGTTAAAACCAAGATTCCGCTAACAGGTGTCTCGATTATAACTTATATTACGTCTATACAAATTTTTATCGATTTCTGTATGTTATATTGTGATTAATTTTTATTTTTTTTATATTTGTAATTTTAGTATTAAGAAATAGTTTTTTAAGAATTTTAATTTTGAGTATTGCTGTACAGTAGAACACTCTGTAACACGATTAAAATATTCGCGTTATTGTATCAACTTGTATCAATAACTATAATATCCAGTCAGACTTGTGATGAAAATTGTCAAGCAAGCTCGACATTCCAAATGCTATTTATTTGTTTGTCATATAAATGAAATATTATTTGTCTATTATCAATCTTTAACTTTTACAGTAAACGTAGATACAGAATAAGCATCAAATTCTTTTCTTTCTACTAAATTATTAAAGATAAAGTAGCTTTATCAAGCACAGTCGTAAAAGAAATCAGGACAAGGAGTTATGTAAGTTGGTCCTCTGTCTGTATCAGTTTCTCATGGAAAATCTCACATTTGCAGTAATTTCTCAACAATTTCTAATCGCATTATAGAAGATCCAACTGTATGACTAAAAAATATCAATCATTTCATAACATTTCATAATCTTCTTCGATAAAACATGGTAGTCTTCTAAAGGCAAGAAGCTTGGCGGTAGCTGAGTCAAAATGGCGGCCGATGCGCGCCAATTTTCGAATTTCCGAGAGGTTAACTTTGAATTTTCATGCTTTTTGCGCAGGGAAACGTGTGAATAATTCGCGTGAAGAGTGTATTCGATGCGGGAGATGGAATATTAACTGTATACTGAGGTAAGGAGGATTTGGGAGCCCTTGTCCTGAAGCGGGCGATAAAAAACGGTGCTCGCAGTCACGCGCGGGGCTACGCTGCCAGGATCTCCATCAGATTCCCGCGTTCGTAAATAAACCGGTGAAGCGTGGTGGGTCGCTATGTTTAGTTTAGGTGGTTTCTCAGATTTCTGGGATCACCATGGGAGAATGTGACAGGTCTTCCAGCTACCGGCGCTGCGGCACGGTTTACGATCGCGGTTACGCTAGCGATCCGGCCACGATCACGTCCAGCCGACTTCCGCTGGCGGTCAGGTGGGAAAATAGGTGCATTAACATGTTGGCTACCGCGTGGTTCACATAACTATCATTCACTTGAGCCGTGGCAGTCATTTTCGTGGCCGGCAATCGTAAAACTGAGGCAATATATAATATTGTTTCCTACGTTAACCAGTTAACTGCGTTTAACGAGTATTCAGGTTATCCTAAAACTCTAAACGGTGCCAACTTTTATAACGATAGACTATTTAGTCTTTCAGACAAACATGTAATTCTTCTTCGTTTCGAATTAGTTTCTCGTTAGAATGTATTATACGTGCATTTGGCCTACATTTGACGAGTATACACTCCATTATTCAATTTTATTGCGCGCACAATAAGAGATTTTTTTAAGTAAATTACATACTTAAGGGGTTAATGTATGTGGAATATTACTTACTGCTTTGTAACAAAGGTAAATAAAGGTATTCTTAAGTTACACTACTGTTTAGTTACTTATGTTAGTAAATATGTTGATTCAACATCAGCTTTCTTCTTGTAATTGTTTTCAAAGGATTCGCAACGTCTGGTCATTGGTGGCTATCATAGTCAACGTGTTAATGGGTTCAATGTGTTGAAAATCATGGGAATATAGTGCGATTTTGTGAAATTTTCTCTTTTATTGATAGAGCTTATAATTTATAATGTAATGTGCAATTTTGAGTTTATTTATGTTTATTTAGCTTTGTTTAGATAATTATGGCTGGCGCAGTGGTTCCTAATGTATTTATTGTTTGGTAAATTTTTTGTCTTATTTGTGTCAATGGAATGTTAATAGTTTTCGAAATTTTATGAGTGTTTCAAATTGTAAATTGTCAGTTACGAAAGGTAAAGTATGAGTTGAGAACCCCTGATCTAAACTTTTACGGCGTAAGTATGCAGCAAAACACTTGTCCTCCATTCTGAGTATTTTATTTCTCAACCGAGTGTCCAAATAAGTGTGTGATCATCAATCACAATTAATTGAACCTTAAAACTTTATTTCCGGACCTGTTCGCTGGAGACCACCCCCTCCCCTAAAGGAAACAGTAAATCAGGCGCGGTCTCTCGATTTAGTCCGTACCTATCCCAAAAAATATGCCAGTTTCACTGCGTTGCAACGTCAGTTTTCGATAATATCTTTACTCTCGGTAATATTCAGCCTTAATAATTTTCTGCACACATCAATTTATTTCAAGATTCCTCGAAGCTTAAGGGTATCAAGATATTTGCTTGAACATTATTAAATGGTTCTTGTAATTGTAACAAGTACACGTCATTTTCAAATGAAACCCTTTAATCAGTTTAATCAATATATAATCCTAGGACAATTAACCCTAGTAATCAATATTTATACCAAAATAACAGAAGATTACAAATTAAAGAATCTGGCATTGAATCTGTATATTACGTTCTCATAATTAATGAAGAAAATTATTCTTTCGATTGTAATTTGTTAAATTCGTCAAGTTTATCACGAAATCAATTAAATAACAGTTTTTTTTACAAAAATAATGTATAGAGCTTCGATCGTCAAATAACAAAAGGATTCTTTAATTCCCCATTTACCAAATTCACTATGAAATCAATTAAATAACATTTCCTATAACAATAGTGCACCGTGCATCAATCGTCAGACAAAAAAAAGAATTCTTTAATTTATCATTTATCAAAATTATTAGAGAATCAGTTAAATAACATTCCCTGCAAAAACAGTGCACCCTGAATGAATCGTCGAATCGAAAAAGGATTCGAGGTGACGGAATTACGTCGAGCCCGTTGCAGAGTCGTCCAGGATGTTCGACGGCGCGCTCGAGACAGAACGAGAGGGGAGGGAACAACGGATCGATGCGTTAGACACACATCCGGTGTTCGCCGATTGGCCGAAGGACGACTGGTTGACATCGTTTTTGGCCAATCGGGCAGACTGGGCGTCGCCGCGGCGACGTTCGCCGTTTCCTTGCAATAATATTTGCACTGGCTCGTCTAATCCATTAAGCCTGCCATCGCACGGCGTTTGGTAAATTATTTATCGGCCCTTCCCCGTCACTGTTCCGTTTCCACCATCCCCACCACGACGGATTTACGATCTGGGAATATCCGTAATGCTCTGCGGCCTTACCCGTTCACGTGACGTCAGCGTGACGTCCGGGAGACTGACTTCCGCGACGTCTTCCAGCGATCATCGATGACTTTTTGCACCGTTATCATTTATGATGCGACGGTTTCCTGCATTTCCTTCAAGCTTTAAGTATGGACGTCAGTTTATCCTTTAACACCGGATTCACGGAACCCGTCAATTTGACGGATATTGAATTTTTTAAACATTATTTAGTAACAGTTTAACAATAGAACTACCGAGTACTTAAACTGTCTTTTGAAAATTTCTTCGTGAGAGCCACATGTGTGTAGTTATTAAGAGTTCAATTAGCTTATATATCAAGTTAGGTATTACTAAATCAGTTTCTGCAATCATTTCTGAAACAAGTATTTGTGCCTTTTCAATTATTCTAAAAGAAGAAATTGGGAATGGGTCATTTTTAATATTTATTTTTGTTAATTGTCTAGTGAAATCTTACCCACGTGTCTGAGACAATATTTTATGGCAACCGATTAATGTCATTGGATATTACTGTAATTTATGTAGGAGATACCATAGTTTAATTATATTATGATACATTTATATTATGATTATGATATGGCAAATAGTTAGAATAAAAATTCGCAAAATATAGAAACTTAAGATAGAGTCTGATTCAGTACTAGTGGACAGTAAAGGGTTAAAGTACCATTTTCATTAAAATGTGAAGAAAATAATCTTGTATGAACTTTTTGGTTTTATTCAATTTAAAGTATCATTGAATGCGTTTAGACCATAACAATTGCAAAAATGTATGTATATTTGGTGCCTGTGTCTTTTAAATACTCTGAAGCCTAACAAAATGTTTTGTTTATCGTATTAGAAAATATGTACGACTGATTTGTTCTTAGAAACTTGTGTTTTCTACAAATTATTACAAGTACAAGTTTGGAGCTCTGAAAGTTATTGTGATTTTATGAATTTAAATTCAATTTTTTTTTAAATTAATGTTATAAAAATAATTATTTTATACTTGTTACTTTCTCATGTTCTGATATTCACTTCCTATCTTAAATGATTTGCTTATATCTACTAATGTATAGAAGGACTTTTAAACCCATTAATCAATGACAAAGGTAAGCATAACGAATGAAATGAAGAGACGAGAAATCAGGATTAATGTTGATTTATTGCAACGCTCGCAATCAATATAAAAAATACTGTACATTAGAAATGCACGTTGGCATCGTGTAAGGAATGGAAATCCAAGTATCGTCGCTCTTAACATTTAAACGATCCAACAATCGGCGTAAGCCAACCACTTAACGATATAACACATATATCACAATATCAAATTAGTATAAGCAAGCTCTGTGCACGTTTGCTTCAACGGAAGTTGAAGTTCGTCCATGGAAACTTGACTTACGCTGATTTCGTTTGAACCCTTCCGCCATTTTGATCCTTTCGCAGTCAATATTCAATAATTTGCCAATTATTAAAAAATAATTGAAGAAATCTCCGCATGGAAAGGATCAAAAACTATTTACAGAATTATTTACAAGACACTCTGTTGAGTTAATAAATTATTGCGTTTTCCGGCCATCGTACCATAACCTTAACCTAAAAACTTAAACTTAATACTATATAATAGAAACATATATATTTACATGGCCTTATGTTACAGTCTCTCGTTAAAAACTACGTGACGGACCTTAATATTTACTTAAACCTACTATATACAATGATTTTTGGTTTGTTGCTGTATGATCGAAGCACTCGGCGAGCGCTTGAATGCTTATAATTAAATAAAGTATATAATACATTTTCACTTCGATTTTTACTGAAACCAGAGACAAAGCTAAACAAATTGTATATATTGAAAAATACGAATTTTTGGAATCTGAAGAAATTAATTTTTGATGAAAATTATCATTTGCCCTATAGAATATTAATAACCAAATATTGTTTACAAAGGTCATAAAAACGTATCCTTGCAGTTAAATTCGAACTGATCTGCGCAATCACCAGACTGTCTCTCGTAAATTAAGAATTCCCTTCGCATACAAATCGAAATTGTCCTTTACGTTTTAGAAAGATAAAGAACGATAAATCGGTGGACGATCCTCCCATCGGGCTGTAGAAATTTATCTTTCGCGTAACAAGAATATTCCATCCATTCGGTGTACTCCAGTAAAGGCGAGCAGAAGGACAAGTTGTAACGCTTCCAAAGATCAAAGGACAATTTTTTCTGAAAGGAATTTAAGCCAACCGCTTTCGATCATTAATCATCGAGTTCCAAACGTGACCCTAATTCCTCCGTTAATGTTCTTTGGAAACCACCATTAAAAGAAAGAATTCGAGGTTCAAACTGTTTCAAATTTCTTCGAATTATTTCAAACTTCAAAAAATCTATTTTCTATTCCACGAAAAATTTAAGTAGTAAATTATTTATCGATACAAATGATGTATAAATTAACAAGCTAATAAACGACATCGTTGAGTAATGTTTCTGCTTTTGTAGTTCAATATTGTTTAAATAAAATTATATTCAAATATGCCCCGCGTTTTTTCGCCTCCGAATTTTTCCCTTCGAAAGGAAGTGGATTGCTGAAAAAACTGGCGCGAGAATTCGAATAATTTTTTTACTGGACGATCGCGGGTCTCGATGTCTGACACCGATGGCACCTAATTTTTTCCCCGAAGATTCAGTGCGGCAATAAAGTCCGCTGGCGGATTTAACGCGGCGTGTCTTCGTTAAGCGGAGTCAAACGCGGCAGAACTTTTCCCTCCACGGTTTAAAATAAACCTCGATATATCTGCGGTTGTAAGTCAAAACGGCGCAACCCGTATTTTCGAAAAATTTTCTGTTTTGGTCCTGATTTTCGGTCCCAGTCGATTCGGTTCATACAATTTTCGAATTTGTTTAATCCAAATCGATTCGATATTTCAAATGCTTTGATTCAAATTGATTCGATATTTCAAATTGGTTTAATTCTGATTGATTCAACTTTCTGTTCCCATTGACTCTTAAACCAAGAATTACATATATTATTTAAAAAATAATTTCTTCTATAACAAAAGTGAACTATCAAGATTGAAAATCGTAGTGAAGCAAGTCTTAGTTCAGTGAAATATTTCGCATTTATATTTAAATATTAAATGTAAGTTATTGTTCATATAAGTTCTGACAATTTTGAACGAAATTCAGTATTACAATCGCAGTATTACAGAATTTTGTACAAACTTCACAGTATTAACCCTGAGCTGTCGAAAAGCTCCACAATATGCAGAACTGAATAGAATGTTATATTTATTAAATATGTGTTTCTACTTCCTATGTATGTACATTTTACAATAATAAATATATTTTATACTTTATTATATTAAATCTCCTATCGACATTTGTTCTACATTTAGTCAACATTCTGTTTCATAGTTCCAATAAGCGATCACTAAAAAATCATCAGTCGTTAAGGGTTTCAAACGTTAATATTTTGGTAAAAATGTAATTTGCGTCGTTTTGTCTTGCGAGCACAGAAAATTGAAATTTGGGCTGCTTTTCAGTTCAGAGATATTGAAATGGAGCCGGATATCGGGGAGATCCTCTCGAAAAGGAAGAAACCGTGGACCAAGCCGACCTATCGGCGCCGAAGCGCTCGTTAACTCATCCCTCCCGTTGTTTTGTTTAAGTTTCATCTACTCGTCGGCACGGTTAGGGCTTGTTTCCACAACGCCGAGACGCTGACTCGTCGCAAGAAGCGAAAAAAAGCCTCGTAAAATTGTAGCAACGACGCTACTGTCCGTCTTTTCGGGCAGAAGGGAGACGTCGCTTCTAGAGAATTGGTTCGGGCGCGTTTCTCGCGTAGCTTCATCGAGCTGGTGCACATGTAATATTGTTTTTTCAAAAGAAATTTGTATCAGATTATAATTTAAAAAAATAAACTTTAAACAAACTGTAATTAAACTGTTTATCAATGAAACTGAGAAAGAAACTGTTGAAGAATTTTTGTAATAGACTAATGCCTTTCCATTATTGTTTTAATTATTTTCAACAGTGATTGAGGATTGAAGGAAACTAACTGTAGATCAAGATTTATGAAACTACTTTAAGTACACCATAATAATATTTCTTTTAATATATTCCTGTTTTAGTTTGTATTTAACGAACTTTTCCGCCACTTCGAACATGCCGAGTGAATTCAACTGAAAGAACTGAATTTAATTTACTAGTGTGTTTCATCATAGCAAAATTGATTTTGAGAAAAATGAATAGATTACTCAGATCTACCAATCCTACCGAAAATTTTGTATCAAATTTGAAATTAACATTCCAAGAAAAAATTTCTTTTATAGACATAATCTATAATATGAATTTTCCTTCATCAAGAATTGCAACTACATGCGAATAATCTTCTTAACTCCTTGCCATGTGATTTTCTTTGCAATTACTCGTGTCAAATTCATTTATTATTAATAATTGAAGGAAACACCACATTTTCTGTTTATTGTATTGATTTCTTTCAAAACTACTCTCGACAAAATTATTTTATTGCTCACAATTTATTAGAAAACGAACGAAATCTATTCTGAAGCATCACAATTGATAATAGAGATACTTAATTTTGTACTAGAAACAAATGACATTTATATTCGTTAACACTAGTATTATCGTACCCGTCAAAGTGACGGATTTTAGTTTTATTATTTAATTATCGATGTCTTGAAAGTATTCAATGTCGGTACTGATTTTGAAAATCAACAGTTCTACTCAAATATGACAATGAATGCTTAAAGAAATCGGAAAGAATGTATTCAACCTTTATGAGGATTATAATGTCAACCCCAATAAATGCTCGGTAATGCTAGTGTTAAGTTCTATTTGAATTCTTCGCTACAAGTCTGACACAATATAGTTGGGCAAGGGGTGAAAAATCTTCGTCACGAATTTCAGTTGTCATTATAGGGCAAGTGGTTAAGAAGATGATCGAAATTTAAATAAATGTACTAATCTCATAATTCCAGGCGTACACATGTTCCCAGATAGACAATTCTCGGGATTGATACCGACGGGACAGGGATGGGTCCAGTTAATCGGATCTACAAGAGATTTCACACGGCGCGGAAATTACGGAGGATTTGGCTGACCGGCCAAACTTGTCGTACCGTTAATAGACCGGCGTAAGGGGACGCACCTAAATTATCGGCTTACATTATTGCGAAGACGAACGGGTACCCTGATCTACCGCGTCGCGAGATCAACAGCCACGATTCGATTTCAAAGGACTGGTGACGCGGACGAGGAGTGATCGCAGCTAATTAGTCATTGGCCGATCGAAAAGACTCTTCATTTTCCTACTGCTCAGAGGAATTAGGTGTGTTACACAATTTGCCTGGTCTATATTGGTTTCTGAGACTGACAGATTGCTGAACAAGTTTATATAAACTTTGGACATTTCGTTCAAACTTTGTAAACTTTGGACATTTCGTTCAAACTTTGTAAACTTTGGACATTTCGTTCAAACTTTGTAAACTTTGGACATTTCGTTCAAACTTTGTAAACTTTGGACATTTCGTTCAAACTTTGTAAACTTTGGACAATACGTATAAACTTTGTAAACTTTGGACAGTTTATATCAACTTTGGATGTCTTATGTAAATTTTGTAAGCTTTATGAATATCCTTATATTCATAATATACTTGATTATATTATGAATATCCTTTTTTAGACATGCTTTTGGTTCCAATAATGAATGTAATTGAAAACCTAAGATTCTGTCTTTAGTCCTTTCGCATATTATGAATTATTTTTAGAAATAGACGCAAACAGAAGATTGTTCAATTTTTGTGACGTACCTCGAAAGAAAACACTTTTCGAAAATAATCGGTATCTATGGACGACTGACTCCTCATGTCAATAATTCAATGTACAGCTTTCTATTCGGTCAAAAAATGAGACAAACTATTAGTCGACTTCTAACTGAACTTTCGTTTCATTTTCACAAGTCAGTCCTCAAACCTATAATCTTCTGCAAAATATAATCTTTCCAGAATATTAAAGAAAGAAACAATTATTTTTATCGAAAGCCACAGAACTTAGAATCAGAAAATCAGAAAAGTTGAACAATCAAACTGCCAACGTATTTTTATAACGAACAACAGTGAAAATCTTCGGCACTGAGAAATATTGAAGATACTTGAACACGAGTCGACAGATTACCGAGCATCTGCCACCGTTTCACGCGCGCATAAACACGTTCTGGAACGTCTTTTCGATGAATGATTTCGATATTTTCGAGCCAGCGAAAATAGGAAACCGCTGAGATTGTTTTTCGTCCTATTCTGACACTTTGTTTACCTCGTAGATGAAAATACTGATGACGGAATATCTTCGAATGGAACTTCAAATGTTCGAGTTCCAGTCGTCTTCCATTCTCCAGACGCTGAAGGCGTAGGACAGCTTCTCGTGTGCCATGTAGCTGCAGGATGATGAAGTTATCTCTCGTGCTGCCAGCACTGCACTTCTCGGAGTTCTCTCACCTAGAACCATATTTATTCTAATCAATAATCATGTATATTCAATTTCAAAAAGTATTTTGCAATAAATAGATTAAAGATCTATTACAATAATTAAATATCACTTTTAACTCTTTGTGGGTGAACATTTTTAAACATATCCAAACCTTCTAAAGGGTTACTAAATTATATATTAAACTGAAAATATAAAAAAAGAGAACATTGCATTGATCTTCTGCTGTTTGAATAATTTAAATGTACGTTGAAAACATTTCAACTGAGGTATGACAGTTTCGTGTGTTCAACGTGTCGACATTCGTCTTCAATGAGTTAACTGTTGATTAAAGTTTCTTAGTCTACGTACTATATTCTAGAGATTTCATGAATGAGCACGACAGACTTAATGTTAGTTATCTCAAAATAATCTTTTACATTCTTTGATGAAAGAGAACATTGTTCATCGATCAGCGAATTTTCGGAAGATAGTGAATTAAAATGCATTTACTAAATATCAGAGATTTGATTAAAAATTGAAAGCGCAAAGTTTTATTTGTCATTCTAATTTTCAATAAATGTGAACAGTAACTGAAACCATAATATTATGTAGTTTGAACATCTTAATACAAAAATAATTATTTGGAAATCATTTTATAATATAATACATTTACCAAATACATTTACAAAATACATTTACCAAATATATATAAAAAAAAACCCAAAAATTGAAAGTACCATTTCTTACTCTAAATCAATTGTAACAAAGGTAATAGTCATTAATTTTACATAAAATCCTGTACACTTAACAGTCAAGAATCTTCAAATAAACGATTTATATAACAACAAACATAGCAAATAATTCTCTCAACACTAAAACTACCGAGTCAAAATGACCCATTCCTGATGTCTTCTCTTTGTAATTATTAGAAAGCTAAATGTTTCTCTGAGAAATAAAAGGAAACTGATCTAGCACCACGCAGACTGAATCAATCACTCTTGGAGTAATTACAGAAAAATTTCAAGAACTCAATTTAACTACTCAGTAATTTTAATGTTAATTTTGACAAAATTCAACAGACCCGACAAGCAAAAAGCTCCTCCGTTATTTCAAGAAAAAATCCAACTTAACCAAGAACGCGATACACGGTTAATTATTCCAAAATAATCTTCCGAGTCCAGTTGATCAAAGGGTCAAGAATATCTCGGCTCCCGCTTGAAAACCGGCCCAAAGAATGCACGATAAAAAGAATCCGAGTGAGGCGCGGTGAAACGGGAGAAGAGAAGAAACTGTCAAGACGCATCAGCGCGGAGGAAAGCCAAAAAGGAGGATCGGTAGCTGGTATTTGCGTCCGAGTTGGTGAAAAGGGACCAATCTTCGCAACTGTTAGCGTCCCGATATCTTTAGTCACCTGGAGTTATGGTATATCGTCGCCATTTGGCTTCTACCGGTCTCGCCTTGTACTCTGTCAACCGGCGAACAGGACGGGGCACCGGGGATGATTTAGACTGTCGGGAAATGGCTCCACTCGAAGCAATTGAAATCCACAATCCGGAAAAACAGAAGTCGCAGGAAACGTGTCTTTGATTTACTGGGGTCTAATTCAAAAATTGGACCGCGTATGTTCGAGTAAAATCGACATTTTTGTGAAATCTGTGGAAGAAACGGGAGTGAGGTTTGCTTCTTTTTTGCAGAATTTTGATTTGTCGGGGACACTATGTAAGTCGATTTTGACGTATTCTTGGGTTGTTGGAATATTGATTTGACTGTCTGGACGTGGATCTTTGAGTAAAATTGAAATTTCTGTGGAATTGCCGAAAGAAACAGATTTGTTTGCTTTTCGTTGAATTTTGATTTGTTGATGACAAGTGTGAGACTATTGGGAGAATTGATTTTGAAATATTGATTTGAGTATTTGAACGTGGATTTTTGAGTAAAATCGAAATTTTGATGAAACTGGTAAAGAAACAGGAGTAAAATTTGTTCCTTCCTTGCAGAATTTTGATCAGTTGGGAATGATTGGATAGAATGTCAAGGAAATCGATGTCGTTGAAATATTCTTAAGTCATCGGAATATTAATTCAAGTGTTAGAACGTAAGTATCAATGCGAAATTCACATTTTGGAAAAGTAGTTATGAAAAATGGAAGTGAATGGAAAATTTATTTCTTTTCTTTCAAATTCTTACTACTTGAAAGTAGTACCAGTCTATTAGAAAAATTCAAGTGGTCGTAAACGTTAACAGGTACTGAAACCTGTAATTCAAATGTCAGAATATTCATTTCAAATGATTATTCCTACTTCTTCAAACTCAATGTTGCTAAAACAATTGAAGAGTGTTAATATTTAGAATTTAGACCATTTCAAAACAAACTAACTTAGTAAATTATTTTAAAATTTCCATCACTTTGCATTTCACGCATTAATGTTCCCTGTAAATTTACAAAATCCGCAGATTAGCGACCTTAATTAATCAATGTCAACGACTCTAAGTGCTCGAAAGTGCTTCACTTTTTCCCAGTGAAGAGACACGAAGACTTTTGAGACGATCTATGGAATTCCCTGTGTGTCTTTCGGCCAGTTTGTAAATACTGTTCAAGTGTCTGCCTGAAAGGGTAGCTGGCCACTCGTGTATACGAGCTTCTGGGGATGGATTCTGACTTCTGAATCGGAGGAACCCTTCTTCAGGGGGACTGTTTAATCCCAACGTACAGTAAACAAATCTGGACTGGGTGGTCCGAACACGTGACGCTCGGTGCCGACGGAGAATGCGTCGTTAACGAAAAATTCTTAATCAACATTAGAATTTTTCTCACGAAAAAGTATGTTGGGGTCAATTGATTAAAATTCAAGAAATTTTCCAACTCCATTCGTGGATTTTTCTGGGTTATTAACCCCTTGTCCTATGATTTCTTTCTGAACTATGATCAATACAGCTATGTTATCGTTAATAATTTATTAGGAAAAGAACAAATTTGGATGTTTATTCTATGCCTACGTTTACTCCAAAGGTTAACGATTGATAATAGAAAAGTAATACTTAATTTATATTTTTAAAAAATGAATAATACTTAGGTTTCTCATATTAAGTTTAAAATTTCCCTTACGAGTCTGACCCGATATTGTAAGTCAAGGGGTTCAATTACGGATTTGAACTTCAAATATTAAGTCATTTTGGGACTGTTACATTCTTTTTATTGTAAAATATTGTTTAGTGTACTTATTTTTCAGAATTTATATATTGGCCGTTGGTCTGTACTATTATTCGACTTTGCAGAGCAGTGGTGGATTATTTCTTTAACAAGTGTTCGATATTTAGAACTAAGAAAACGGGGAACAATAGAATTAATAATATTTATAAACAATATGAAAATTAGAATATTGTCTCTTTGAAAAAGAAATTATTTTTGTTTGGTGACACGTGAGAGTAATTAAAAAGAATAAAAGTAATTGGAAATTTTATCGTTTCGAAGTGACTGAACATTTGTTCTTTTAATTTCATATTTAACAAAACAAGGAAAGATATTACTTCTTCAGAATGAAGACTTTTCTCTATTTCTCGAACTATCAAGTAAATGATCGTTTACGTTGAAGGAATTAAGAATTTTTATAATATGACATTGAAACCCTTTACATTTGGAGTGTTTCGAAGTCACTGGACTCTTACCCAAAAAATGCCTCGACTTTTTTCAACCTTCATCCCTACATCATTAACCATCGTCACTATCATTACCAGATAACATTTCCCACATTATACAAACAATACTTGAAACTTTTATAATAAAAACAACAACAATTGAACATTAAATTTTTATGCATTCGTATCAAGCAAAAGTACAAGAATCAAATAATTAAACATTACCAAACATACACTTCCAATTTCAATTTGACTACATCAGAACCCTAAATAAAGAAAGCTAACCTCCGAAATTTCAACAGAACCTACATAAATCCCCTCGAAAGCCCTTTATTTTACATAAAGACTGTAGTCTAACATACCAAAGATAAAGACAATCATCGAAAACCTCCGGAAACAAAGGACTCACCAGCCTCCTCTCCGCCGTCGGTGTTCTCCATGTTGCAGTGCAACACCTGGAACAGGAAGTCGATGTACCTAGTGGCCAGCTTCAGCGTCTGTATCTTGCTCAGTTTATCACTGGGCAGGGTCGGTATAATCTTCCTCAGCGCAGCGAACGCCTCGTTCAAGCTCTGGGTCCTCTGCCTCTCCCTCACGTTCGCCATAACCCTTTGAGTCTGGATCTCCTCAAAGGTAGCACCGCTCTTTCTCCTCACCTTCGATTTGGTGGAGGAAGCGTTGCTCTCACCTTCGGACTCCCCTTCGACGCAGCTCGACTTCCTCTTCCTCTTTCCGCCACTTCTGGCTCCCTCGATGCCGTAGCTCTTCGTGGAAGAGGATGCTTCGGTCATCTGGGTCATCTCAGTCTGCTTGTACCTCTGCTGATCGATCTCTGGCTTGTACTCTATCACGTCGGGCTTGTAATCCACGGACTCCACGTGGTGGTAGCCCTGAGGCTGATGCCTGGGCGGCATCTCTTCGCCGCCGGGAGAGTACATCTGCGGCGACGGGGTCAGGTACAGGCTCTGTTCGTGATCCCTGCTGTGATCGGACAGAAATCCAGGTGAGTTGTCATGTAAACGTCTTTCGTACTCCGTCACTTCAGCTTGTAGGTCCCTGAGCATTTTGCCACTGTGCTGGTCCTGGTACCTCTTGTCTTCTCCTTGGTTCTCGTACATCAAATAGCTACCTGGCTGATAGACTATTTGATGGTGGTGATGGTGATGATGAGGCTGGTAGCCTGGTAGGTCTCTATGCTCGGGGGGGCTGCTGAGGTCCATCAGGTGGGTTGGAGGAGAGAAACGTTCATAGTGGTCCGGTGAATTGCTTGCCGAGCTACCAGCACTGTGGGGGATACCAGAGCTATCGCTGTTGTCCAGGATGTAGATTCCTTGGAGACGCTGCGACTGGAGGCTAACCGGTTGCTGCGTGGTCTGCATGGCTAGGTCGCTTTGATGTCAGAAACTGTCACTTCTTCTGGTGGCTTCAGGGTCTGAACACTGTCATAGCACCACCGTTAGACACTTTAGGCTCGCGACACTCGGAGGTTGAATTGGGATTGATCCTTCAGCCAATTTACACCGAGACAGAGCTGCCTGGAGTTAGCTACCGACACTTTAAGGTATGAACGTGTTGGGACTGATAGAGGTTTTCGATGTTTCGATGGAAGACACGAGACCGCTCGGAAGTTTCGACTCGAATGAAGTGACCGGCGCTCCGGGACTTCTTCATGTCAGCGTGGGACCCGCCTACCAGCTTGGGGACGCTGCCCCCACTACTTCGCCGGCCAGTTTCCCCCACTATTGGTGGCTGCCTACTGTTGCGCCCTGTGTTCGGGGTTTCTTTTAGCCGTCGCGTCTTGTCAGTCGTCTCCCCCACCTATGGGCTGACGGCGAGGGGAAATGGCAGAGGCAGTAGAAAGGAGATGGGCCGGTGGGGGTGGATGATCGCGGAGATGCGTCGGATACAATGTTCTGTCTGCTGAATGGAGGAGAATGGAGGGGCACCATCGTCGAAGGAGGAGACAGATTATTGAGTTTAATTGAATTTCTCGCAGGTATTTAAGTGATTAACAGGTTGCCTGAGATGGAGTTAACGGAAATTTAATGGAAGTTAATTATTGAGTATAAGAGATGAAAGTTTGTTTGGTGAATGAATGCATTCGAAGATTTTATTTCTTTTTGCGAGTGTGTGAAGATTGCGGAATAAATTTCAGACCTTAATAGAAAGTAAATACTGTGATTTTGATCAACTTTGGCCAATTTGGTTTAAACTTCAGTTCGATAGATAAGTTTGATAGTCGCATTGGCGAATGGCGTTACTCGTTAATATATTTAAATCCTTTTCCACTTTATCTAATCCTTAACTATGAAGCATGACTATTCAAAAACTAAAATTATCTTTATTTATTTCCAAACAAAATCGTCGAAAAGAATAAAAAAGATACAGATATAGGACTTCATTTCTATGTGGACAGTAAATTAATTTATAAATCAATCACTGTTAGAAAAGTATATACAAATCGTTATATATCGACGTATTTAATAGATTGTATATTTATTATTTGGATGACAACTTTATTATTCTGATATATTTATAATATAGCTTGTTTGTTTGCAGTGTCTTGTGGTTAACGTTACTTTTACATTTTGTGTATTTCATAAAAGTATTATTATTCATTAGAAACCCAACAGTTACAATATTATTATCAATCTTATTCACTGTATTTAATATTTGAAACAATTTTTTGATACAATTTTTTATTTAATTTAATACCATCAACAAACATATGCATAGTGTTTCAGTTTTAAAGCTAGAATCTAAATATGCATTCTACGTTCCACAAGACTTAGGTCCTACATGGAGAAGAAACGTTTTCAAGGATAACCGGTGGGAGTTGGAAAAAAAAGAATCTTAGAAGATTAATGATCCTTTCACGATCACGATCGAGGGAAGTTAAAGGTTAGAGAAGGACAGACAGTCGACGATGGAACCGTTCGCTGTAGAGAAAGACGGTGCGCAGAGGGCGGGAGAGAAAAGAGAGGAATGAAGAAGAAAGATGGAAGTCTTGAGGGACGAGCCATGTTGAATATTTATATCGTGAGGAGCCACTGAGAACAAGGCTAGGGATCGCGAGGAACAGGCTCTGATATGCGAGACCAGTTCGCCTTGGAATGGCGCTAAAATTTGCTGTCTTTGTCCCGCTCGTTGTTCCCTCCTTTGGTTTCATTATAAAAATCCATCTGGAAACCTTTAAGCCTTCTCCCTGCTTTCGAATCGCATAGGCAATTATTATTCTTGAAAACAGTTAATCATATTAGTGGGTACAATTTAGTACTCATTCCTATCCACTGAAATCATGTTTAATAATAAGAATATTAATAAATTATTAATTGCACATACAAGTGACATATAACAGCAACAATGGTGAAACAGAGAATGCAACAAAAATTTCTAAAGAGATTAATGAAAAGCTCAAACCAAATCGATTAACTAAACCTGAAGAATCGTTAATAAATCATTACATTGCTACAATATACTGTTATCTTTTTACAAAACTATTCGATCATATCCTTATTTACCACAAACTCACTATATCATACTCCACATTAAATTACCATTAAAACTTACAAACAACATCATAAATATTTATCCTCGCGACGCAAGCCCCGCCCATTTCACTACCAAACCTAACCTATTTCCCGCCGCAAATAAAGATGGCGTCCCGCTTAACCCTATCACAGGTGACTATCCAATCGCGGTAAAGATTGATAGTACGCCCAAAGTATTCCCAGCACGCCGAGCTGGCCGCAGGAAATAAATGACTTTCGCGTGGCCAGCGACTAAGGTGCAAATTGGCTCTTAAAAGGGTGGCCGAGTATTGGCGCCGTTTCCGCGGACGTTTCCATCTGAAATAGCCACGGGGGATTGGTATTAATGCGAGCGGCGTGGCGTGGCGCGCGGCGCGATTCGAAATCGCGCGGCGCGGCCCGGCTTGATGGATGACCCGGCCGGATTGCCGGGACGTGTTTGTTGTGACGGACGAAAGCTCTTTTGAAGGTGTCTATAAATTCCGCGTTTCAAGCTTTCACGGCTTCCACGGATGTTCCTACGGCCCGCGTGATTTACCGTATAATTCGACGCGAGATATTCCGTCGCGAGAATGAACCCTGAGGAACAAGAACGTCCTTCCTGCTTCCCATTTCGACGCAATATGGCCGCCATCATGGATCCCCTTATAGTCGTGTTTTCGGCGGTTTTGTTTCTTCACTCTACTGGACGAGTTTCTCGTTTGTTTTTCGTTCGTTTTTTTGGTAATGTGAATCAAGGGGTTTCTGTTTCGTGAATAATAGAGTGGAAATGGTTAATTTAACTCCTTGCCTTATAATAACGCGTCGGACGCGTGATGAAGATTTTTAGTCGAGTTCGACAAACTTAAATGTCGTTTAGTTACTTTTAACGTGAACTGAATGTTACGAATAGCATAAATGTTACTTATCAAATGTTACGAATAGTATAAATATTACTTATCCAATACTACGAATAGTATAAATACTACGATAAGATAAAGTTCTTTTCTTTTTCTACTAAATTATGAACGATGTTTCATCAAGTACAGTTAAGAAATAAATCGTCGGTCAGGGAGTTAAATGGCAGTTCATTTTTAACGGTAAACGTACTGGTTTTCTATCTACACTTATTTCTATTGTAATCGATCAAGTAATCAATTATAAAGTAAAGGTAAACGAATTAAATCTTTGCGTTCGAAGGCCACCATAGTGGAGACTTCGATATCTTTGAGTGTTAACGTTTTAGTATTAATCTTGACCTATGACTTATTTCCCAACTGTGATCGCTGCAACAGCTTCGTCATTAATAATTTACTGAAAAAAGAGAAAAATTCTATGCGTATTCTACGTTCGCAGTGAAATATAATAATTAATACCGGAAAAACAATATTTCATTTGAATTCGCAAGAATTGAGTAATTTTCATTTTGTATTTGTTAAATTCTGTCTGAAATCTTCACCACGAGTCCCACGCGTTATTGTAAGACGAGGGATTAATGATGTAGAACGCTCGATAGTTCTAGTATCAAAAAATCCGACTTGAAAGGGTTAAGTGCTTGGCCGCGAGTTATTCAACTTTGATCACCGGCCGGAGTATTATTTTGGTGTTTGGCCGCGTTATTTATCGGCCTCTTTATTAGCGATCTGATTTTCAGTTGGACCTGGGCCAGGATCCAGCGGGACGGGGATGATGCGCGAGTTTCTGCCGGTCGTTCGGCTTCCTAGAATCGAGATTCGATGGCGAACGGAGCCGCGACGGGCCGCTGATGTCTTCACTTTCGATAAACGTCGCGCGATGTTGCGCTTCGGGGATCGTTAAACCGCGGTAGAACGTTCGCGGCTGGAACTTTGAAGTTTCCTGCTGGAATTTTCGTAGATGATGACGGGACCATTGATGAAGTACAACGTGACGACGTCGCTGATCGGAAACAGCAACGATGTATTTACTCTGGAATAGTAACAGAGTTCTTTCGCGTTGAACCCCTTGCTCTGTGGTTTATTTCTTAACTGCACTTGATGAAATAACTTTACCGTTGGTAAGTTAGTAGAAAAGGAAAAAAACTTTATACTCATTCTGTGCCTTGATAACTGAAGTTGATAAAGCAACTTTATCATTAATAATTTACTAGAAAAAAAAATGTATACTCATTTTGTGTCTTGATAACTGTAGTTGATAAAACAACTTTATCGTTAATAATTTAGTAGAGAGGGAAAAGAACTTTATACTCATTCTGTGTCTTGATAACTGAAGTTGATAAAGCAACTTTATAATTAATAATTTAGTAGAAAAAAAATGTATACTCATTTTGTGTCTTGATAACTGTAGTTGATAAAACAACTTTATCGTTAATAATTTAGTAGAAAAGGAAAAGAACTTTATATTCATTCTGTGTCTACGTTTATCACAAATATTAAAAATTGATAATAGAGACGTAATACTTAAATTGTGTTTGACATCTTAAAGCAGGAAATGTGTTTTGAAAACCAATATTTTCAAATAATATATTAATTTTTATTTCTTTTCAACTTTTTATTCATTCTTTTTCTGAAATATTTTTCTATTATCTTCTAAATCTGTATGTGAAATTTATGAATCAAAATCGGGGACACGTGTTTTTAGAATTTTCCGTTATTTGCTATTTAATCATAATCATGGGACGCACCATTTTCTCCTACTTACTAAAATATTTTGGACCGTTTCGTGGATGGTATTAAATTTCACAACGTTCATGGTAAACAAACGTACATCGTGAAAAATAATATAATTATTAATTCCAAAGCGTACAATTTAAAAGAGAAATTCCTTTTCTACATCCCCTAGTTTCAGAGACATACAAAATATATTTCAACCCTCAATTCCAAAGAGTGCATTCACCCCTTCAAATTGAACGTTGCCCAATAAGAAACGATACATGCCAAATATTTTCTCGAAAACTGTGTGTCACATGAGTTTCATCAAAATCGGCGTATGCCGGTTGAAGAGGTTCCCTTGTCATTAAAAGTCACCAGCAACGGAACCAGTTGTTCCTTTTCTTCGTTAAAAAGATATAAAAACAATAATGAGATTACAGCTCGCCTCAGATCGCAATTGAAAGGAGTTCCCGGGGTTTCCCCTTCATAAACAACCAGAT